ACACATATTTATATTTTTATTAATTAAATTTTGTTCCGTATTAGCTATTTCGACGTTTGAGCTCTGAAGGTTTGAATGACATACTGGAAATGATATTGCTTGCTATGAAACCGTTCTTACTTAAGCTTAAACATAAGTCACAGCTGGATGTTGATGAGCCAGCCTCAGGCAATGGGCGCATTGTAATAAGTCGTAAAAAAGTGAATTGTCATGACTATCCGCTAGCAGAAAAAAAATCCAAATTACCTATAGAAACACGTAAATATTGCAAAAATGTTTAAGCATAAATTAAAGGCATAACCGATGGTATTTCTCTAATTTTAGCATCGCCAGCATCTGATGGAAATGGTTCACCTATCGGTGGTATAGCTGGAAGTCCAGCATCTGGGGTGCTACTATTAGGCGGCCAACAAAACTTATTAAGTGCGGCAACATCTTTAGGGGAGTATACAATGCCTGAACGTAACTACTGGCAAGGTAACTGAATTTAATAAAATAATTTTTACAACACTGAAATACCTATTTTCTTCACGCTCTTTAGAACGCCCTTCAGAATGTCGAAAGGATCTTGAATCAATGCGAAATAAAATCAAAACGCGCTATAGTTCCATTGCACAGCGAGGCAATTATGGTAAACAAAATTCTCCCTACCCGAATAACTGGCGCATGAATGGCACACTGATAGCACATTTACATGAACACTCTGAGTCAGTTATTAAACTGGCTGCACTTAAACCACATGGTCCGCTTTTTGCTAGTGGCAGCATAGATGGTACGGTACGTTTGTGGGATTGTAACAAACTAAATGGCAATCAAACCATAAACAAGTCACGACAAGTGTATTCTGCAAATACACCAATATATGCTTTAGCAGCCTGTGATGGTGGACAATCATTGGCAGTTGGTGGAAAGGATGGAAGTCTACTTATAATGCGTATCGATAGAAATTCTTCAAAGATGACCTTACAACAAGCACTCCATTTAAATCAAAAGTAACTCAGACAAATTTATATAGACAATTTGTTAATAAATTTTAATATTTGCAGTGAACACAGTGATGGCCCTGTAGTAGATATGGTATCCTATGATCACACGTCACCTAATATTATTATATATGCCACACTATACGGCGCTATTGTAGCTTGGGATACACGCATACAACAATGTGCTTGGCGTTTAGAAAATGAACTACGTCATGGAGTGATTACAACAATATGTGCTGACTCTACAGGTTCCTGGCTTGCTACTGGTACCAGTGGTGGCAAACATATATGCTGGGACTTACGTTTTAGATTAGCTATTGCAGAAATAAAACATCCCTCAGATTCTTGGATACGTAAAGTAGCTTGCCATCCTACAGAGCCTTCCTGCTTAATATCAGCTTCAAAATCTAATAATGAAGTTTCGATTTGGAATATAGAAACAAATCATAGACAAACTGTACTCTGGGCTAGTCCAGCACCTCCATTATCCAACACTAGTATGGTAAGATATTGTAAATATAAAAAAGTTATACATATGTCTTAAATTATTCTTATTATATATGTATATATACAGAACGATCCGGCAACAACATGTGGTGTCTTAAGTGGTGTTGTAGACAATTCGCCTTTTATTCTGACTGGAAGTTCAGATCAACGTATACGGTTCTGGAATTTATGTGACCCCAAAAGCTCAGCATTGGTTGTGCCATCGCCGAAGGATAATTTAAATGATATTACATTCAATTATAAGTAATTTGATTTCTTCTTATATACACCATAATCACAGTAATTAAAAATAATGCTGTATATTTTCAGTACACGGTTGATTGATGGCAGTCACGTTATAGAGGAAAATATTATTTCGCTTGGTAATAATACTGACATGAATGCCTTGCGAGTGTCAGCTGAAGAAAATCCAAGATCTGGCCCAGACATGCCATCAGCCAGTCATCAAGACGCAATTGCCGACTTACTGATGTGCAAAAGTGATAAAGGACAAATATATATAGCATCAGCAGCGCGGGATGGTGCTATCAAACTATGGAAATAATTTAAGTTACAATTATTTATATAATTTGAATTATTTTGCAATTCTTTTATTCTCAAACTATTTTATTTCAACTGTGATTTGCAAAATTAACAAAATTTATTACTGAATGTAATTATACATTTCAATTAATTATTATACTATTAGTTTAAGCTTACCATTATTTAAAATTTTGTACATATAAAATTATAAGTATGTATGATAACAAATATAATAAATTCAACATAATCTGTCAATTTTAAATATATATAATTCCATAAAAGCGACAAAAAAACAAATATTGATGAATTTAAGACAGTGTCGTTCGTTACTTCGACCTGTAATATTAAACCTCACTGTAAGTAACAGCGCGCATTTGCAAATATACAGTATGTAAGAAAAACATAGTTTGTTGACATTTCCTTGACAACCAAACAGCTGATTATTGTTTACAACTTTTTCTTTAAATTAAAATAATAAATATATTTTTAATATGAAATGTGTGCTATGAAACAATATTATAAAAATTAATAAATAAATAATATGAGAATAACGCAAATATTATTAAAACCAAAAGCATCTGAAGTACTGACCGCATATTTAAAACAATGTAATGAACCACCGTGGACATCTTATTTTGTAAAGGTTTGTGATGTAATAAAACTATTATTATTTATATTACTTAATCATTTCGTTATTTACTTTTTAGTTTAGAGATGTGGAGAACGATCAACACGGCATGTCACACTTTAATTGGACATTAGATACTGGCACAAATTATCACATACTACGCACCGGTTGCTATCCATATATGAAATATCATTGCAGTAAACGTGAAGTGCAGGACTTAGGATTAGAAGACAAATTTTTTCGTTTTTTAAAAGTTATAAATTTAGGTAAACTTAATTATTAATTTATAAATAAGTTCTAAAAATATAGTTATTTTTATTTTGTTGTGATATAGCACAATTTTCAAAGTGCCTTTATACGACTGATATACAATATAAGTTATTATTGATATACATATATACATATATACATATGTCTCAAGATCTCAAGATCAATGTGATACAAATACTACAAACATAGTTACATATATATGGTTTGTTTTTTAGAATATTTCATATGCACTTTGTAGTTTTGATACTAAAACAAAACATCAACATCATTATAATCACTCAATAGTTCATCCCATGATCGGATTTTCTATTCTTTTCAGTCTCTAAGCAGTCTTAATATTAAGATCTCCTAGTACAGTCGCTATTACGAGCAGTAACAGACGTAGTACAGACCTTAGACCTGGTCTTTCCTGAAACCTTTTTGCCATGTTCGTTTCGTTTCGTTACTAGTATATCCGTTCTTAATTGTTAGCCAAATCTTTTATGAATTTTGAGGAGAATATGTATCAGTTTATCCAGCTATAATTTAACGCCTAATCCCTGTTTTAAGTACAGATATATACCCCGGCATCGTTTGCTATACTGAGTTGGGTACCCAATCTTCAACTTAGTTTCTCAAACTGAGGGGTCACCGTTGACACAGTAAACAAATGTTCATAAATTGTGTATGCACTAATTCTTTAAACCCCAAATAAACATAACGGTTTTATAATTGTAATAACATTTTTTAGAAAATTTTAGAACCGTTTATTTAGAAAATAATGGTCTACCCACTACATATCAAATTTTGTGATCCGAGTGTAGAAATCTACAAGTAAATTTATTATGTTATTAGATTCATTATATACATTATTTCATGTACTGATTATTATTATTTCTAAAAAGCTTTTTTTTTCATTAAAGGTCTACCTATGTTGTTTTATGGAATTGCGGCAATACATCTCATCAGTCACACAGAAATGGTTTACATGACAGATCGTAGCCAAGTGCCAATATACTTTCTTTATGCTGAAGATAAAGGTTCTAGATATTAATTTTTTAGAAAATTAAACTTTTAAAGCACATTTAATTTAAATATTTATTTTTACAACCGTACGAATTAAAATATATAAAACAATATAAATTAATACATTTTAAACAATATAAATTAATTAATTTAAAACAAACAAATTATATTTTTGTTAACAATAAATAATTTTAATTCTAATTAAGTTTTGCAATCTGCCGCTGGATTCTCACATGTTTCATCATAATTTTCCAAAAGTAAAGAATGGATTGATTCACTGAATTGGGTCAGTGAACAAGGTGCATCACAGTTGGGTATACTTAATTCTTTGGGAAATTTGTCATCACTATTGTAGTAATAAACAATCTGTAAAATACACAATGTTAAGCCACTCAGAGAACGCATTACTAATATTGAGATGAGACTTACTTTGACCTCAAAATCATTTTTAAATAATGAACTATGGTGCAATTCAAATACCAAGGCTGAGGCATACTCGGGTAATTTTGCAGTTTGACTTAAGATATTTAAAGAATTCATTACATTGACTAGCGTAACGTCATGACCCGCATACAAAAATATTTTTCGATCCGGATTCAAATTCTTTTTATGCTTGCTAAGCATATTTTTATGTATTTCGGAAATGAATGCACCGCCTTTGACTTTTTTCATTAAATTCGTTTCGGTGAAGAAAGTGTAACTTCGTTCTGCTAATGGTACAAGCCGATCTGGAAATATATTTTCCGCCCAATCAGGTATAGCAAGTCCAGCTTCTGTTTCTATTTGTAAAAGTGTGTATAACTGCTCTATATCCAAAACACTCGATATATTCTAGGAATATAATTTAATTAATTAAATTATTAGTGACAATAATCACATTTTTAATAATTTATTCTACACACCTTTCCAGTATTTTTTGATAACAACTTATAAAGTTCGGCATTTTCTTCATTTAGTTGACGTAACTCTGGTGGCGGATTCTTGTATAGTTTTTGTAATATTGTATCATATTTCTGGCATGGTTTCTTCTGTGCTAAGAGCTACAAAACAGACTTGCAGAAGTTATTTATAAAAATAAAATAAAAAAAACATATTTTTGTAAATTACCGTATCATCCATACGCGGTATTGTATTTACAGGCACTGGTTGCCAGGCTATAGGTAGTACATTGTTATGTTCCAGCGGTGGCATAAAACCTGCTAAAACTGCCTGAGCACTCATAATACAACGCTCTGCAGCGGAACTGAGCACATGCACTTGTTGTTGTGTGTAAATTCCATTTGAAGGTAATAAACGATAATAGCGCATACGTAGGTTCTTACCTAAGTTGTAGGCTTGTAATTTACCAGTCTTTGTGTTAACGTTTATAAAAACTTTAAATATATATTTTATTTGCTATACAACAAGTTAAATATAACCAACCTGTGTTAGGGCACCTAATCCACCGGGCCAATCATGCAAAATATGTGGATCAGTCGGATAGAAAGAAGAAGGATTTTTTTCGCCATGACGGAACAACTTCAAAAATATATTTGAAAAGAAAACATATATTTATATATTTTTTAATATATTGCAAATGTGCTAAACATTGTATAAATGTTTTTAATCAAAAAGTACTCGTAATGTGATACAGTTAATATATAATGTGTTTTACATGAATCAATAGAATATTTAATGTGTTTTTTGAAATAGCCGGTACCATTATTTACCAATAAAAAAAAATATCTTTAAAGTCGGAAATACAATATTTTACGAACCAGTGGTTGATAACATTATGAAAAATATTTATTTTTCAAAACATATTTTATAATTAGACAATTGTGCAATTGAATAATTATTTATAGGATAGATATATATAAGCCCTCATGAATAAAAATTTTAGAAATATGCGATAATAAAAAGTCCTTCTATAAATTCCTAAGAGCGTAATTTACTGAACATTGCTATAGAATATCAACGACGTTGTGTGTACCCAAGGGAAACAAAGTGGGCGACTGTCCATTCATCGTTCTATCCTCGCTAAGTGTTATAGCAATGATATAGGCATGTGTATGTGCAGACAGCCGTGTTAACAGTTTCTCGATTTGATAACTTTTTTTGGCCGACAGTTTTAAGAAAACATTATTCTTTAAGTATACGCCTCATCCGCTTCTCATTCGCTTCTAGCTATGCCCTTACCAGGGAATTGAAAAATATGTGCATTTAAGAGTTAAATAATATCTAGTTAGTGTTAGTGTTCTTATAAGTGCTTATTCTTAGGTATACCGTATTCTTGTCTACTTCAAATATATAGATATTTACATTATCATAGTACTAAAAATTCTGGTATAAATTATGTAACGATAGGAAGTTCCTAGTCCTTATCCTAACATATGCATTAGATTCGCGTTTTCTAAACCTTGAATTTTGTCAACAACTAATCGTAATAATCAATTGATTTTTATTAATTTTACATATAGAAAGTAATTTTTTTTATCAAGAATATAGAGCAGAACTGTCCAGACCAGACACTATCACTGGCCAATACAAATCAGTGTACAGATTGGAGGGCCGAAGAAACAAATACATACATATATATATAGTTGTTTTCGACAAAAATAAAAATACGTTTTATTTATTATTTAAATACGTTTAGTTTTATTAATTTATCAATTTAAATTAATTTATTTGGTATACCATAAAAATAAAATAATGTGGTTCTACCAGAAGACCAAAAGAAAATTTGCACAATTGTAGTAGATTAAAATAATGTCGCGGGCCGCAAAAATATTAGCCGCGGGTCGCACTTTGGACAGCCCTGACATAGAGAATGTACTTTTAAATACTTTCTACCAAATAATATTTAGGCCCTGTACGAGTTCGAGTAAATTGAGGTCAAGTAAATTGAAATTTTTTGCACTGCTCTTATTTACCTTATTTAGTTATGGTAATACCTAATTTATCTAATTTTCATCTAATTTTTACCCTACTCGAAATATTGGTAAATGCCAATATTCGCTGCCATACCAACATAATTTACTACTTACCATCAATTTACTTGAACTCGCACACGCCCATATTATAATTTCAATATAAATTTACATTTTTAATATATATTTTTTAATATAAAAAATAGCTTTTCTTTTCAAGATTGGTATTCAACAAAATGTATCTATGGCTTTGTAATTACAAGGATTGTTGTAATT